CTCCAGGATCCGTCCTTACTGGGAAACGATCCGTAAAACAATACAGGAAATAACAGACACCTTCCTCCTACACCGAACCACCATGACAACACATCCATTACAGATCCATTATCCCCAGACTGCTTAACGCAGCCAAGGCGACCATCCCCATATACTGGAAGCAGACCACCACACCCCCATTGAGACGCTGGGTGGAGGAGGTGGAAGCTACACGGAAATTTGAGGATATGAAAGCTAATACCCTGACACAAAGGGACCGCTACATAAAACGTTGGTTCAACTGGATACGCCATACCACCTCAGACTCCTCTCACCACCACATAACACAGTAACCGCAGAAAGAGAGGGAGAGAGAACAGACCTGAGTGGGAGTTCGGGAGACTGCGTGCGCGACAGGCCGAGGCGGCAACGGGAGACAAGCCATCCACACTACATTCCCACATAAAGACCTACTACACAAAGCCATAAGTAAAACCCAATCGCAACATCAACGATCCCAACAGACGCGACAAATAGTTGAAAACTCTAGCACATGCGAAGCACACAGGGACTAACTAGACGCAACAAGCTCACGACGAGGTTCAAAAACATACCTGTATGTCTACCACAACATTTACATAAAATAAACGTATACATCCAGACATGCACAAACCGCAATGTATGACCGATAACTATGATGCATAAAGAATGCCAAACCCGCCTCCGCGCAGGCAACCAACGGCTTATAACAATGTACCGAGAACCATGCCTCTGCGCAGGCACTTACATGCTACAAAAAAAAAAAAAAATGTTTGTTAACCAAACTTATGACATGACTACTATAATAATAATCTATTGGCTGAGATTATCAATTCTGATCTTGAGGATGTTGAGGGGGGAGGGCAGTGGGCTAAATAGTGTTTTAACACTCTAGGGTCAGCATTACGTGTTTGTGTTCCTGAGCCTCCTGGTGCTTTGCTAATCCTTGTTATAAGCTGTGGTTTTATTCATCTGGCAGTCAGCATAGAGGGGAGAAATTACGCTATGTTTCTATTTCTCTTCTTCATTTTCAGTGTTTGCCGTGGCTTTGCCTTGTCTAAATGGGATTATTATGTAATTAGCTATTTATTTATTTTTTATGTAAAATTTAGCAACTCCTAAAGGAGAGAAAAAAAAATCATGTAGTTTTATATATGATTTTCAATGTTTTAAAAAGGGAACGATTACTTCTCTGGAATTTACACAATAACACTTTTGCTTTTAGCTTCTTTTAATTACCATGAATTTCCACAATTTGTTTTAATGATGTAGTAACAAAGATCTTGTTTTTATTTTTAGGGCTATCATTACTGCGGTAAGCACAGGGGAGGTTTGGCTGAGACGGGGAGACAGCAGCAAGACAAAGATTTACGTGTCACAGCTACAGAAAGGCAAATACTCAGTCAGGAGGGCAGGAAAGTAAACAAAACCTGCTTCCTTTGAAACATCTAAAAATGTCTGCACCGTAGACAGTGAAAGAAGGTCAAATTAATTTGGCATTCTGTTTGTTTATAAAGAAATCCAAGAACTATTAAATCGTGTGTGTACAGTGTAAAGTGTGTATTCAAATGGTTGGGTCCAGATCAGAATTGTGGGCTGAGGATATTTTTTTCTTTCTTGCTAAGTAAGCGAGGTATTGGTATAAAGTGTGATGGGATTTGCATAAAACACTTTCATTACAATGGCATATTGCGTGCACATAGTAAGCTGGGGATTAGCGTAGGGCATTGTGCAGTTTTTCAGAAATAGTATATAATTTTCCCATTTAAAATTTTTGCACAAATTTAAAATGTATTTTTGTAACCAGCCAATTTAGCCAATAAACTGTTTTTAAATCTAGATTTTTCTTAGTCTTTTAATTACATGTAACTGGAATGTTGGATTACCAGATTTCAATGCTTTATGCTGTTGGGCAATGCATATAATGCACTCCCAGTAGGAAATAGCATTTGTGTGCTACAGGAGTGAAATTTATGGTGGTTCCTCTGGGATCGCTGTAATGATTGATGGTACTGCATTATATGGATACAACATACTACTTGGAGCGCTGTATATGCACACGGTAGAGCAGTGTTTCCCACAAATTGGTTCCGCCAAACAAAACTTTATGTGCATGACCGAGCCCCTGTAGTATAGGCCGGCTGAGAGGAAGTGAGAGCACTTCCTCCCAGCTCCACAGAGTTGCTGCCGCGCAGTAGGGAAGGAGGAGGAGACTGGAGACGTCAGCCCAGAGAGGGAGCAGCATGCACGGCAGCGGAGAGGCTGAAGTGAGCATGCAGCAGCTCACTCCCATCATCCTAAGCCAACAACACCAAGACTGGTGGCTCTGATGTATGTCAGATTGTGTGTATCAGTGTGTTTTCATGTGCCAGTGTGTATATGACTGTATCTATCTGTGTGTCAAGGTATGTGCCAGTGTGTGTATCTGTGGGTGTAATTCTGTGTATGTGTCACTGTGTGCATCTGAGTGTGTGTATGTGCCAGTATCTGTATATGAGTGTGCCATTGTGTGTATCTGTGTGCGCATCTGAGTGTGTGTGTATCTGTGTGTCAAGGTCTGTATCTGTCAACATGTATATGAATGTGTGTGTCTGTGTGTTAATTTGTTTGTGTATGTATGTACGTGGCAGTAAATGTGCATACATCCCAGCAATCAAACACCAACCCAACATGCAAACACAAACATTACATACAAAAACCCCAGGATTCAAATTTCTATTTTATATAAAAAACACTCCAACACATCCTTCACTCAAACACTAATACTACACACAAATGTACAAATCTGAACTCTGGAAGCTATCGTGATCGCTTCCAGCTGCTCTAAGGGTACTGCAGAAAGGCATCGTAAAACATCTCTCATGACTGCCAGGCTGCTGATTCATCACACCCCAGAAGCATTCACTTTCGAGTTGCCCCACGTGACGCCCGGCAGTGTAGCAGAGCATCGGAAGCCAGGGGTCGAGATACTCAGTGAAGACTTAAATATTTGGGTTTTCACAGTACTTTCGATTTGAGTTTACATGTTGTATTTTAATAAGGGACTCATTATGACACTAACCACCGTATTACAATGCCATGAACCTACTTTATAACATCTTATATTTTTAATTATTATTCCTGAAAATTCTAAAAGGATAATCATCCACTTAAGATGCAGCTGCAACAAGAAAGACCCTAGTGACCAATACATTATCCCTTAGGAATTCTTCATTCATAATTTCTCTGCTAACCGGAAGGTATAAATTAAGTATTCATAATATCTTATTATCGTAATTCTGAATAGGACTTTTCAGATGTTTGGCATTATGAATTTGTTGACTGCATAAAATATTGTATAATATGAACCATCTTCCTGTGTTCTTTAACCCCTTAAGGACCATGGACTACTAGGTATGTCCGACAAAAAACGGTCTTTAAGGACTGCGGATGTACCTAGCGTGTCCGCGCCAAATATGAGCGCTGGAATCGATTGCTTCCAGCCGCTCTAAGAGTATTGCAGCGATCCCTCGATGTCGAGGCATCCCGTAATACCTCTGACCGCCGGGCTGTCGATTGATCGCTCCTCACATGGCACCCAGAAGTGTAGCAGAGCATGGGAAGCCATCCGACTGACTTCTGATGCTCTGCCTGTGTGCTTTGAGGGGTTGATTCACTCAGTGAAGACTTAAATAAAATCAATAAAATAAAAGTTGCAGAGCCTGTTTCAAGAGGGGGCAGAGAGGGGACACCGTCTTTTACTGTCTGGATTGCCCTGGACAGCCTGGACTCTGCATTGGGGACTACTTCAAGCAATATGACAGACTGGTCCGTTTAAAAAAAAAAAAAAAAAAAACTTTTTACATTTGCCAGTCGAGGTTTTTTTTTTTTACTTTTACTGCGCCAGACTATTTTTATGATCAAGTTCAACCTATGCATGGGGGCATGAGTGTACTCAAGAGGCCTTTCAGAAAACAACCTGTAGTGTTTTCTTGCAATAACCAACAGGCTCCCCTAAATCACACTCAAATGTGTGTGTAAAATTGAAAGGTGAAAAACCACCACACATTTTCTCCAATTTTTTTTTGGGCTAAAACGGTTGTATCAAAACACTCCATATACAATACCTTGGGGTGTCAACTTGTCAAATATATGCATGTTCATGGCAAGAAATAAAATTGGGATATGTAAAAAAGCCTCCAAAAAGAAGTGAAGTACAGAAGGTATCAAATTTGAAAAACATATGTCAGAAGTTTGGCATTGCACCCCCAAATCACTGTACTCAGGAGATGTTGCTGAACACATATTGGGGTGTTCTTTGGCAGTAATACATAACAGGAGCTGAGAATCCATGCCTAAAGTACAATGTGAGAAAAAAAGTAACAAAAAAAATGACTACCCAAAAGGTTGACAAAGACTGGTGGTAGAATTAGTGCATGGAAAGTGTTAAAATACCACCATTTGAGATACCCTTGGGTGTTTTTTGGTGGTTGTAGATGCGTAACAGATTTTGGGAGTCAAAGTGTGTTTTTAGTTTTTATTTTTATTTTTATTTTTATTTTTTATCTCATTTTACAATTTTATTTTTTTTTTATTTTTTTTTTGACATTCTTTATTTGTATGTAATAAGGTTACAATACAGGTCAAATCGTAACAAAAGACACGGTATAACAAGTTTCGGGAGGCCCCCAAACCTTATGCCCAACAATATTTGTAGGGTTTCGTTCTTAAGTTTCCCCTCCTCTCCACCCCCCCGCCGTAATAGCCCCCTCTCTGTTAATTTAACCTTGGCCGGGCTGTCTCCGGCCTACCTGCTATCTGTGGCTATCATGTGTTTACTCCGGTCAAGGTCCCCTTTCCTCCCCCTGTCGGTCACCTTCGCTTCGTCGTTGGGGCATGTGGACATGAGGAGAGAGAGAGAGAATGAGAGAAGAAGAGAGGAAGAAAAAAAAAAAGGGGGAGGGGGGAAATGTGGGGGTCCCGCGATCCAGCCTCCACCCACGCTACTCCGCCTCCTCGTCCGGCCCCAGACAGTCCGCCCTCGGCCGCCCCCACCTCCGGTCCGAGCTGTAGGTGATCCACGGTGTCCACAGGCGAGTGCAGCGGTCTTGCATGCCCCTGAGTTCTGCCGTAAGAATTTCCATGTTATAAATTTCATCGACCTTTTCTATCCACTGAGTAATGGTTGGGACCACTGGTGATTTCCATCTGGCGGGGATGAGGCTTTTGGCTGCGTTGAGGAAGTGTCTGATAAGGGTTTTCTTATAACGCCCCAGGGGTATCTGAGTGTGGTTTAAAAGCATAGGGAGGGGCTCCATGGGGATGTCTTCCCCCAAGATGTCCACCACTTTGTCGTGGATCTGTTGCCAGAAGGGGGCTATCCTAGGGCAAGACCACCAAAGGTGTAATGTCGTCCCTTCGGCAATGTCACATCTCCAACACTTGTTATCGAGGGTGACCCCCATGGCATGGAGTCGTGCGGGGGTCTGGTACCAGTGCGTCAGGAGTTTATAATTAAGTTCCTGCATTTTAGAACTAAGTATCCCCTGGTGGGACAGAACGTGTATTTGCTCCCATTGTGGTTCCATTAAGGTGACGCCTGTTGCTTGTTCCCACTTTGAGTGGAAGTGTGCCGGGGGTCCCGCGTCGGCACCCAGGAGCATGGCATATAGGGTCGATACCCCGCGTGTCGGGTGCGTTCCCCCTTCGCATAGCGTTTCAAAGTGTGTGAGGTCTCGGTGGACCAGGTGTTTCCCCTGAAGTGTGGCATAGTACCGGCGTATCTGGTGGTACCTAAATCGTAAGATCCCTGTCTCCCTGCTCTGGCCCAGCATGTCTTCCAGTGGCCTTAGGGCTTTATTAGCACACCAGGCCCGAAGGTATTGTTTCGTCCCCTCCCCCAGCCCCTCAATATCCCCCTTTGTCAGGCCTCCCGCCAGGTCCGGGTTGTGTATCACAGGAGTCAGGGGGGCCGGGTTCGTGGTGAACTGCAGTTTGAATCGGATGATTGTCCATGTTCAGTGTCGCGCCTATGAATGGGTTACAATTATTTTTATAGGAAATTATATGATGAAAATAATGGTATCTTTAGAAAGACCATTTAAGTGCAAGAAACTGAATATAATATGCGTGGGTACAGTAAATGAGTAAACACCGCAGAAATGTAAAAACAGCTCTCGTCCCAAACAGTAAGAAAATTGAAAAGTGTTCTGGTCACTAAAGGGTTAAACTTGCATGAAATGAGCCTCCTGTCTGACATTTTTGGGGGAGAAAAATATACATTTTAGTTCAAAATAGAAATATAGCTGGGTTTGATTCCCCCTCCCAGTTTGGTTATTATGCACTAACTCTTAAAACTCATTTTTAACTATTGAAAATGTACATGTTGGTGAATAACTTAGGTGTTTTATAGGTATTTGGGTGTTTTCTGTGATTTTACTCATCCTGTGTTTATATAACACAATACCGCCACCTAGTGTACCCCAGCAATATGAATATTCCTCACACTAATCGGTCAGGAAAAATGCAACAAATTAAACAGACCTGTGAGCCTATTACACCCACCCGCCCACATATAAACAAGTGTTTTTATATAAAAGAGACCAATACAAAATGCATTCTCTCTCGGCACAATATAATTGTATTTCAAAACTTGTACAAATAAAGCAATTTGTCTGAATTATCCTACTTAACCATACTGTCTATTGTGTGAAGAAAATGTGATAAATAGAAATGTCATTGGCGGAAGAGAGAGGATCAAGAGACGACTTCTTTAGAATATGTATGATGACCTTGGAAGTGATTGGAGATAGTGGTAGGCAGCAAGGACAGAGAAGTGTGATCCATGGGCCTTTCTCCTGCCTGGCCTCATAGAAGAACCAATCAATTCCCGAGAAAATATGTTTTATAAAGGTATATTTTCCGCTAGTGGGGCACTTTTAAAAAGACTAGGTGAAACGCTTTAGCAGATTGTCATGGTCTTGAGCAGGTCTGATAAGAGACTTATGGCAGGTTTACCGTTTGATAGGTTATTTGAGACTTTAGACATTTATACACAAATAGCAAGCCAAAGAGGGAGAACCGAAAAGAGAGTTAGGCAATTGGTAACAGGAAAACCTATAAACGGAATTATAGGTAAGAAATAAGAGTGACTATAGAAAAGAGGTTAGGCAATATGCCCCAGAGAGGTTATTTACAGACAGGTTAGAAATAAGAGTTAGGCAAATATAAGCAGGAAAACCTAGAACTGTTATTATAGGCAAGATTGAGAGAGAACCTATAAAAAAGGAATTATAGGTAAGAATGAGTAACTAAAGAAAAGAGAGTTTAGGCAATATGCGCCGGACAGGTTATTTACAGGATGTTAGAGGATAGTAAGAAATCCTATACATGAAAGTATAGGATAATGAGATAAGCAAAACAGAACTAACCAATTAGGTATCAGAATAGTAAACAAAATAGTAATTTAGTGAATAAGCCCCCTGTTTGGATGGTACACTGATAAGTGGTCAAATAACGCTTTGCAATATTGGTTATTTGCATAGTCCAGAGGTTGGTAGTATCAAGCAGATTGGTAGGGTAGTCCAGGTTGGTGTGAAGCAGGGTGGTAATAAAGTTGGCTGGTAATATAAAGCAGGTTGGAATCACAAAGCAGGATAGTGGTATAATGCAGGAAGGTTTTTTAGATCAGCTCAGCTTGGAATTAAAGTAACTTGGTAGCAAAGAAGGTTGGTCGTGTAGATCGGCTTGGAATTAAGAGGTTCGGTAGAGTAGATAAGATTGATATCCAACATGACGATAACGATGAAGGGAAGTTCACAGGAGCCAGGAACAGACGTCTTTTCAGATTGACCATCAACTTCAATCTAAAAGCCCTATATTGAGCAGGGTGTATGTAACCTTTTGTAGGTGAAGTAATTAACCCAGGCAGGTGAGGTAGAAACAAGGAAGTTCAGATCTAGTGGTTAGGGAGGCCACTAGTGGCAAAACATAGTTAGTGTAGGAACAAAATTAAATGAAAAGCAATAAAGTTCTGTAATTAGGTTTTGGATCGTGACACATATGCTCAACAGCATACATAATAATAGCAGCTTTATTGACATTGACAAGGCAGAACAGGGGAATGCATTCTCTTGACAAAAAAAAAAGCATTTTAGACTTAGACGTCCTTACTTATTGTGACGGAACCTCTGGTCACCTAAGTCAGATACATGTCTTGCCAAACCCACACCTCTTCTAAAAAGACTATAAACACTATGGACTAACCCTCCAAACCATGTCTCCCAGCCCAGTGTCCTTTCCTTGCGGCCTGGAGCCGCCTATCCACTGCCAGGGGGCCGCTAAGACATGGTTCGCCTGACCGGGAGCCACCTTAAATCATCCTGGAACATTAAAGCAAATTGCAGAGTCACTGCAATCCGCTAAACCTTTAACCAGAGCACTTTCGGACCCAAGACCCTCAATCGAATGACACCAAGGACTTGGGGGAGTTCCAAATGTACACGGAAAACGCTGTTTTTTTAGGTGACCGGGGAACTCTACCCAGCACTCTGGAACTCTGAGCCAGATTGGAGACTAGCTGCGTCCCACTGAACTTTGTACTTCCATCTAATTCGGGCTAGCCATATCTGATCTAGGCACTTTTTGGACAGAATGGGTGCTCCAGAGAGACCTGTCCGGGGATATGTGACATGTTTTGGTGCTCCGTATGATTGTATGTGTTTTGTGGTGTTTCATATATTGCTCTCTCAGTATCCAGGAGATAATGCATTTATTTCAATTATCTGCCAGACACAGAGACGCCTGGGCGGGCTTGTTTTGCTGTGAATGAAGACCCAATGCTGGGGGTCTGTGTATAAATCTGTGTGCTTTACTCAATAAAAACAGTTCTTTATCCTTCACAATGCTTGGGTGAGACAGCGGTACCTCTTGTATGAGGATATAATCACTCTGGAGTTATACACACTGAGAAGGGACAACCTAGGCGGCAGTAACCCATCTTCTCGAGGGTATATCACCTCACCTATAGTACAAATTAAGACACACCTTATTTCGTCTGGTCTAGAACACCTTCTCAGTTCCCATAAAACTTGGGGCCCTTGGATAGAGTAAGAATGAAGCAGAAAAAAAAGCCTGGCAGGTATAAGCCAACAGATACTGAAGAGGGAGATGTTTAGGCCCAAATAGTCATGTTAAAAATGTATCAATGAGGACTAAAAGTAGTAAAAAGACAAATAGTAAGAGGACATATAAATAAAACTTATAAGAGTTATAAAATAGTACAAAAAGATTGTAGAAGTTGCACTGTGGCAATAAATGTATTTTAAGGTGCTTTAGATTATGGGGTCTCTTCTCTGTTTATAGTAGTCCTGTTGGTCTCGTGATATAAAAGACACAAGAAAAAAAGACCAATCGTATAGAGAGTAAGGGTAAATATATGTGAGATAAGGATATAAATATTCCACTCACATTTAGATGAGCTATAACCAGCTCAGGTATAACAGGCGTACAGCGGAACAATCCCCGCTTATCGGATATATGGATGATTGTCCTCCGGAGGGAAATATATAAAATACACAATTTATAAAACCATTTACGCGTTTCGCTAACCTCCTTCCTTGTTTTTTCATTATATTAAAAATGTAGCTGATTTGGAGAATTTTTCCAATTTGGCTATTTTGTAAAAATTAAGTGAACAATTCGGTAAGTGGATTTATAGTGATTGCCGCAGATATAAACAAAGTAGTTTATATCTAGTTTAGACTGGAAGGCACCATTGCTCTATCTAAACAGTATGTTGATCTTACACTGTGCAGATACAACTACAGCACAAAACATGATTCTAAAAATGCTTGACACGGAAGCCAAAAAATGAAAGCAACCAGCAAGTGTACAGGGCACCTCTGTTTTTTGAAGAGGTGAGAAGCTAACCCGTAAGCATTATGTACTTTTTGGAATTTTGGCAGGGATATATCCTTCACACTGTTCTAGCCTATTCTAGGTATCAATGACTGGTGTAAGCAACGGCCAAGGGATTTGTATCTTCTAGAAGATGCCTCCAAACTTCAAGAGCCCTTCATGAGTCTTCCTGCTGAATTAGAGATGGAAAAGAAAAAGGCAACTGCATCCACTGCTTCTTTCTCTCCATTACTTTAACATAAAACTCCCGCCCCCCCACCTGCCGGCTCTGACTAATCAATTTTCCCCTGCTAGGGTTTGGCAAGCCCAGGGTATACAGTAGACACGTGCACTTCTTTTAGTTCCAAATTGAATTTCAGACAAATTCATCAATTTAGAAGTGTCCAAATTTCCATATTCC